ACTTTTATTACGTAAACCTTGTTTTTGATAAAAATCCAGATTTTTAAGTGAATTCTTCAACAATTGTTTAGGTTTGCTTCTGTCTGACATTCTTTACACATTAATTGTACATATTACTTTAACGTTATACCTCAGTCGATTTCAGTCTATAAAATTCTCCAATAGTAACTTTTATTTGTTATATTTATTAAAATGATTTCTGTCAAATTCACAAGTTTAATTATATACTGTTACAAACAGCATGACAGTTAAATATTAATAAGGTCATTTAGCCTAAGATGTTCACCAAAATAAACCACAGAATAAGTAACTGAAGTTATTCGTCTCCATATATTATCTACGGAACCAAAGTTTTTCCAAGTTGTTATTAACCTTTGAATAAAGCATAAATTTACCACCTCTATTATTAATAATAATATTTTTAACTCTCTGCAACACCTGTATCACTCCTGTGATTATGGAATCAAAACTCTAGGGTTTTTCTTTCTGTGGTAAAACAGATATGCTACTGTTTCTTTCAGATTTCTTGAAAAATGGCTCGTACAAAACAAACGGCTCGAAAGTCAACGGGAGGAAAAGCTCCACGTAAACAACTGGCAACCAAAGCGGCTCGTAAGAGTGCACCTTCTACAGGTGGCGTGAAGAAACCTCATCGCTATAGGCCTGGAACCGTAGCCCTGAGAGAAATCAGACGTTATCAGAAGTCGACCGAATTACTGATCAGGAAATTACCATTCCAGCGTCTTGTGAGAGAAATAGCACAGGATTTCAAAACTGATCTGAGATTTCAGAGTGCAGCTATTGGAGCACTTCAAGTAAGGAACCGTTCGGATGTACATTAAAATATTCTTAATAACAGACAAACGAATGTTCGCTTAATTTGTTGTTAGTAGAAAAATATTGTATGTATTTCAGTTAGAAATATTACTGAAATATCATTGAAGTAAAATTGAGAAAGGGGAAGTAAAGTAACTGTATCATTTAAATACTAAAATATTTATGAACGTTTTATAAAACTTTTCAGCCAAACATTCACTTAGTTTTGTGTCTCTTGGGTTGATTGATTTTGTTATCAGTATTGAAATGTTGACATTGTATTGAACAAGGTTACAGAGGTCTCAATGTGTTGTTCGGTAAGTCAAGGTAAAAATACAAAAATTTAAAGCAGGACCTACCTTAAGCTGTTTGAAGTCTTCAACACTGTCAACAGCAGCAGTCCAATGGATCAACCATTTATCTGCTATATATAGTATTGTTTACTATAATTCTGTTGGTCTTAATGAACTTTAACAAGCTTTTAGTAAACATTATAAGTCTGTTATTAACAAAATATTGGATCTTTCAGTAAAGTATTATTATTAAAGATTTTACAAAGCCTTTACAGAATCTGTCCGAGCGAAAGGCAATTTTTCGTAATACCAATGAAAATCTTTGCATCTTAGTTTCATATTCATGACCTCTAGAATCTCCTAAATGAATATTAAAATTTGTTTCAGTAGAGCTTTATAATTTATCTGTTTTTTTATCATTAACTGTAGTAAAATCAGCAATCCAGGGTAAGAATTTAAAGTTGAGAATAAATCTAAATTACCGTTTTTTCTTTCTATAATAACTTCAAATGTTTACAGATAATTACACATTTTAATCAGTACATCCAAAGCTAATAAGACATTTCAAATCTGGGTTCATTTAGTTTTATCCCTTTACTGATTGTGTAAACAAAAGGTCAGTTACGAGCACACTATGGTGCTTATGGTCGTATTACAATCACTCCTTACAGTGACTTCTTGCAGTGGTAGAGAATCATTAATAATGTTTCTATTTAAGTTTCTTGTCTAACCTAAAAAGTTTCTAACTTTTATAACAATAAATAAAAAAACAAGAATTTTATTATTTTGCTTTCGATGTTTGTCTCTCTGTTGTCAGAACACCATAAACCTTTTTTTTGGAAGTATTTTGATATTCCATGAAATGTACACAAAGGAAACAATGTCCTAAAACTACTGTAATACAATTGACGTTAAACAATTCCAATAGCTGGTCCAGCCAAACATCATAATGTTACACAAACATACTGAGGTCACACGTTTTCATACTTGTCATCTGAACAAATTGACCTCATAATGAATTCAGTAAAGTAGAATCTTTTCTTTACATTGATTATAAATGTTTATTGACATGTGGGAGACAGGATGTGATAGGAGGGACATGACATGTGGGAGACAGGATGTCATAGGAGGGACATGACATGTGGGAGACAGGATGTCATAGGAGGGACATGACATGTGGGAGACAGGATGTCATAGGAGGGACATGACATGTGGGAGACAGGATGTGATAGGAGGGACATGACATGTGGGAGACAGGGTGTGATAGGAGGGACATGACATGTGGGAGACAGGATGTGATAGGAAGGACATGACATGTGGGAGATAGAGTGTGATAGGAGGGACATGACATGTGGGAGACAGGATGTGATAGGAGGGACATGACATGTGGAAGACAGGATGTGATAGGAGGGACATGACATGTGGGAGACAGGGTGTGATAGGAGAGACATGGCATGTCGGAGACAGGATGTGTGATAGGAGAGACATGGCATGTAGGAGACAGGATGTGTTAGGAGGGACATGACATGTGGGTTCAACTTTCTTGTTTATATTACAGTAAAGTAAGAAGCTACAAATTTAAATTATGTCTACACTGTAAGTTCATAATTTATGTTAAACATATGGGGGTGCAAAGAAGTGTTACGTGCTACAGAAAATTGAAGGTGAGAATTTATTGAAATATTTCCTTTTGTAATTAAGACTTGTATGAAGATTTTAATTATAAACTACTTTTTAATACCAAATTTATTAATGTACATTTCTAACATCTATTAAATTTTGAATGAAACTGTGTGTGTGTGTGTGTATATATATATATATATAAGGTGGTCATGACGTGTGTACTTTGACACCTGTCATATGCATAGAATGAACCAAACACTTGGTTGATGCTAGAAAATTGCCGTTTTTTTTGTAATTGATTATTACACACACCACTATCATTCCCATCAGTTCATGAGGATATTTTACCCTCTTCCACGATTTGATTCAGTCGTGTCAATAGGTAACATTTGCTCTTTATAATCAAAGTAAAACTGGTTGATTAATTTAAAACTGATGACTGTATGGAATGAAAGCGGCAGGCAACATTTGCTCTTTATAATCAAAGTAGAACTGTTTGATTAATTTAAAACTGATGACTATATGGAATGAAAGCGGCAGGCAACATTTGGTTGATTAATTTAAAACTGATGACTACATGGAATGAAAGTGGCAGGCAACATTTGGTTGATTAATTTAAAACTGATGACTACATGGAATGAAAGCTGCAGGCAACATTTGGTTGATTAATTTAAAACTGATGACTATATGGAATGAAAGCGGCAGGCAACATTTGGTTGATTTATTTAAAACTGATGACTACATGGAATGAAAGCGGCAGGCAACATTTGGTTTATTAATTTAAAACTGATGACTATATGGAATGAAAGCGGCAGGCAACATTTACCACCAACTTTTTTTATTTCTAGCTACCATAGTTTGAGGAACAGTGTATTAATAGATTAATCGACCAATGAGAGCATCGATTAGCAGACATCACTAATCACCGAGCTCTACTCCAGAGAAATGAATTATTTTATTTATTTTTTCTAGTTGTGGAGAAGGAAGAAGACTCGGTAATAATGGCTTAATAAAAGCTCTATGGTAACTGAAGTTTTTGTTAGGAGTCTAAACAAGAAATAGAAGTTACAAGTTCGCGTCAGGCAAGCAAATCTAAATAATAACTAACTGAGAGTTGTGGTTTTAAGCTCAAGCTAACAATATTGATTTTCGGCTTTATATATCTTTAAGTATTGCGTAGAATGTTTACCTTTATATGTACGTTTTGGCTATACGGTTATTTTTATTTCTAAATATTAAGGGTAACTGCCTTCCCACGATTGGCTGCAGACAGCAAAAAAACATTAGGAGTTGACACATTGTGGGCTCAAACACCAAACTGATTCTTCATACCTTCTGACTAGTTTGATTTGTGTCTGGTAGATGGAATATCCCCCAATGTTTTAGGGAGCTATGACCACAGACATTTTCCGTTACGAGTTAATGATAATGACAAGAAGTGGTAATTGAAATTTGTTGTTGTTTTTTTTTGGTCACGCACCAAATAGAGATAACATTTTTGAAATATACTTACACGTTATTTTGTTTCATTTTCTCCATAGGAAGCCAGTGAGGCCTACTTGGTTGGCCTCTTTGAAGACACCAACTTGTGTGCCATCCATGCAAAACGTGTCACAATCATGCCAAAAGACATCCAGCTGGCAAGACGAATTCGTGGGGAACGTGCATAAGCGTCGGCTGTATTTTACAAGCACCTTCAGTTCTCATATTCACAGTTCAATTCCGTCTATACATACTAAACTTAAAACAGAGGGATTGTAATATTTTTATTTTTAACACCATCGTAATGAAATTGTTTTGAGAAATAACTTATTTACTGCTCAGATATATATATTTGGTGACAGTCTGGCTGGGATTGCTGTTTTTGTAAAATCATTTTATTTTAAGTTTGTGTTGTACTGCTTTAGTGAGATTCTGATATATATAAAGTTAACCAGAATCATGAGTACTGTTTAATGTCAGTACTTTAGGACTAAACCAGGGTAACAGAATGATGAAAATCTCCGAAGATATGAAGGAGCCAAGGGTGGAAGGATTGAACCAAAGTCACTCACTTCCTCATCATGGCTCCTCTTCGGTGGTGAATTAAAAACAACACACATCTCAGTGAATTTAATGCCGGTGTTGGATTGGAGATAGTTTACATAAAATGATCTTTTTCTCCTGAACTATACATCGACGTAGCATTTTTTGTTGACGATAGTACTTGTCAAATGAACTCTTACTTCACTGAAAGTCGGAGATTGCCGACACGTTCCTTTTGGCTGTACGGTAAAATCTTTTAAGTCCTGACCAAATTCATCGTATCACACTGTGTGCACTTGCTCAACTATTCTGTAACCCTGGGTTAAACCCTCTACAGAGCTGAGATCAGGTGACAAACCATTGCACTGCCAGAAACATACATAATCCTATAGCACAGACTAAAACTTAACAAGACATGATATTCACTTAACATTAAGTCTTTTTTTTTTTTATTTTACAAAATAGTTTGACTCAAAAGAGATAATATTTCACCATAACATTATGTCATTCGCTGCGGCTGTCGCGTACACGAGTCAGACTTTTTTCTTCTGTAAGCTGTGGCTATGTCGTACGTGGGATTTTATTTTTTAATTTTATGCGTGAACTGGTAATGGGTATTTATAACGGTTGAGACACTCCATCCACCCAAGCATTGTTACTTAACAATGAGACAATCATTTTTCTTTTTTTGTCTTTTCTCGTTAGTACCCTTCGGATGTCTTTGAAACCCCATATAAGGCACAGCTGCAGGATACAGAAAAAAAAAAACAAGTCTGATCTGGGTGCATGACAGCTGTACTGAATGGGTTTAAACAACATAAACTCTAAGTTTCAGATTTTAAGGTTTTGTGTAGGAAAGAGTTTCGTAATTTTTGTTTTTACAGTTTGAAAATATCAGGATGTCTGATTTTAACATTAACTGAAGTGTTCATCAGTTTTATTATGATACTTATCCAGAAAGAAATGAATGAGAGTAAGCGATTTTAGTTATTTATCAACAATAGTACAGCACATAACCAGAACTGTTAACATTTAGTTGGTGTATAAGATCAGTAACTGGAACCTAACATATTAAATAAGTGAAAATGTCTCCGTTACCATATTTTAACATTTAGTTGGTGTATAAGATCAGTAACTGGAACCTAACATATTAAATAAGTGAAAATGTCTCCGTTACCATATTTTAACATTTAGTTGGTGTATAAGATCAGTAACTGGAACCTAACATATTAAATAAGTGAAAATGTCTCCGTTACCATATTTTAACATTTAGTTGGTGTATAAGATCAGTAACTGGAACCTAACATATTAAATAA